GGAATGAGTGTTTCTGAGCTTAATATTGACCCCTGAATTGCTACTGGAATCTTTTGCCTCTTTGAAAAGCTCTTCAGTGTCTGGTCCCCTGTGGTCAGAGATGAGCCAGGACTGAAAAAGCAAGTATCCCCTTGGATACAGGGGGAAAGATGTTAGGATCAGAATCCAAATTTCTGTTTTTACTGTTTTGCTAATGCCTTAGAGCCCTCTGCTGGAGAATAATTTCTGCAGAGGTTTTTCTTGGCAAGCAGGGACTGAAGACATCTGATGCTCAAGAGAAAAAACAAACCTCACCCCTGCTGTTAAGAGTATTTTCTTGTTCTAGCCAAAGCAAGAATTTTCCTCTTTTGCTACGGGAAAACTTCAGACTTTGAACTTCCACTTCTCCTGAAATTGGTAGGCAGTGCCATGCTTAATGATGGTGCTTTTCAGATGGGTGGTCTCAGTCTGGATGATCTGCTGGGATGTATTAATGAGTGCCAGCTAGTTGTTCTCAATTCCATTCAGCTGATGAGGGTTTCCCAAGGCTCCCTTTGCCCAGCTGTGTAGAGAGGCTGGGTGCTGAATGCCTCCTGCAAGGCCATGTGTGTCTGGCTCCTGCCAAAGTCCTTTGGCAAAGCACTTCAGGTTCCATATACCCATCCCAGGAGCCTTTCCATGGCCTGTTCACTAAGGCAATCTTACTGTGATTTTACCTACTTTCTGTTCCTTTTGCTAACTGGGTATGTCTGCCCAGCATGGTGTGGTATTCTGCTTGCTGCCAGAAAGCTGTCTGGGCAAGATAGGAAAGCAGAGAAGCTCCAATCAGCCATCTCCTTCCAAGATGGGTTCTGTCACAAGCAATTACTCTCTTGGCAGCATTTTGGAAATGTCAGATGGTCACATTACTGAGTAAATCATGTGGAAGAAACAGATTAATAATAGAAGAGATGGGTCCTAGAGAAGCCTTCCTCTCCTCACAAGCAGCTGTGATAGCACAGCCCTTGTCCTGCTTTTACTGGCAGCACTGGGCTTGCACTGGGAGAAAGCAGTTGGCAGAGACTTCTCCTGACAAGAGAAGGTGGCCCCAGAAGCCTTCTCCTTAATCCTATCTGTATTTACACACCTCTGTTCTACATGGCTGCGTGTGTCCTAAGGCCCAACACTGCTGTATGGGTATGAAGTGGATGGAGGTAGGAGGTGAGCTGCAGTCTGTGGGGTGGGTAGTTGCTCTACTATGCACAACAACAAAAGAAATTGCTGCCTTGAAGTGTCTAGCCCATGTAAAAATGGGTGCTGGTTTCCAAACCTTGGTGCAGAGTCTGTTGGAAAGGTTGGGACTAATTCTGCATCACTTTCATTCTGCTCCAGCAGAGCTCTGGTGGGGCACAACCTGGTGCTGCAGCTTGTTCTAACTGGGACTGCCCCCTGAATCTTGTCTATGCTGTGATTTAGCATTTGAGTCCCCAGCCTGTGAGACCAGAGGGAAGGTCTGGAGGATGCCTTGTCCTTGGGGAAGAAGGGTTTTTGGGGAACACACAAACTAGCTGTGCAGGAGTGTGTGAGGCTGCTCATGCAGCACAGGGGATGTGCTGCTGCTCCAAGACATCTTGGCAGGCTGGAGAAAGGGGTAGAGGGGGATGTTATGGAGCTCAGTGAGGTCCTGCCCCTGGGGGAGAATAGCCCCAGGTACCATCTCAGAGCCAGAGGGCTGCTCTGGGTCTGGGCTCCCCAGTAGAGAGACAGGGGCATCACGCACTGGATGTCCTACAGTGCTACGTCTTGCATAAAAATCGCCCCTGGAGATCCTCCTAATATATACTCCTTGTAATGATGCCTTGCATTGCTGTCCAGGCATCACTGTCACTTGAATTTGGTGCCAACTCCACATTCATGCAACACTTTTTTGTTTAGCTTGAGTTTTTTTGTTGTTTTTTCTTACAGTTTGAATTGACTTTGACTATAAATAAATTGTTCACCTCCTAGTGAAAAAGTCTTGCAGCTCAGCATTTGGCATGGAATTTCTCTTCTGCTTCAAATTTGATAAATGATGCTTTCTTAATTCTTCTGAAGAACAAAAAATGGTAGCAAATATAAATGGGAAATGTCTAAAAATAGAAATACCCTTGTACAGTCAAGGTCTCTAACTGAAAGCAGAGGGCCAAGCTTCCCACTTCTGTGCAGCTCCATGGGCTTCAGCTGGGTTATGAGAGCAGGAGCTTTAGTTCCAGCTGGTTACAGGGCCCTGGGCCAGGAACTCTGGGCAGGTCCCTTGAGTTGGGTCTGTAGCAGCTTCCTCAGGCCTGGGTCTGCTGCCCCCAGCCCTGGGCTGAGCACAGGGGCTGGTGCCACTTGGAATTGGCAGGAGACAGAACGGGCCCTGTGATCCCCTCATTTCTCTCCATTTTGCCCTAAAGGTTATCACAGACACATACATACATTTTAGTAGTAAAAAGTCTTTTCTGAAGCAACCATGGGGTGTCTGCTGCTTTGTTGAAATAGCAAATCCCAGGCTGGGGCTGCATGAGTGTTGCTCATGGAGCAGTCCTGAGCCCTGCACTAGGACTCGGCCCTTGTGGTTTCTGGTGACTGTCAATAAAGCTGGGAAGCCCCCAAAACTCTCCTGAAAATCTTTGTTGCTGTTTTATCTCAGACTCAATTCTTGGTGCTCTTCTATAGTGCTTCCCAATCTGAAGTTTTCAATGCCTGTTAAAAGGTTGCACTAAGTCCTTAAAAGCCGGTGTCTTTGTGACATGTGGATCTCACGTGGAGGGGGACAATTTATGCTGCCTACATCTTCCTTGTAGATGGACTCACTGATCTTAAGGTCTATTCCAACCATAACAATTCTTAGCCACGTTGCAAGTAAGGGCTAGGAAGGGGTGCACGCAGGTACAACAACAATGTGAGCTGAGCTGTAACCCTGAAGAGCTGCAGGGTCAGGGCAGCTCCTGCAGGAGTTGGCGTGAGCAGCCCAGCTCTGCCAGGCTCCTGGCTGGGAGCCCGCGGGCTGCGGAGCTCCTGGATTTTTGGAAGTGCAGCTTCCTCGCCGTGTCCACCAAGGGGTGCTCTGCGCTGCTCCACGTCCTGCAGCAAGATGAGCTCCGTTTGTGATGGGCGAGGGGGTTAAAATGCTGCTTTTAGCCCTGTGAATGCACTGAGACACAAGGCTCGAGGACCCCCTTTGCTCTTGCAGGGGCTGCGTTGTGTTTTCCTGCTTGCTGTGCCTTGGCTGGGGATGGTTGGTGCAACTTGGCCGTTTTCCAAAGCGCTGAGTGCCCCTGGGTGCTGCCCAGAGCTTGGAGGCACCTGCTGGCCACCTGCTTGGGCAAAACTGGGTCCTCGCAGGGGTCTCCCATCCGACTAGCAAAAGCTGCAAGAGGCTTCTAAACCCAAACTTGTTTTCTTGCAGCTATAAATGCTGATCTCTCCTTTTTTCTGGGCTCCTTGTTCACCCAATGCATCTAGGGAAAAATCTCTGCTCAGGTTCCTGTTCTCACTCATTCCTTGTCATTTTTGCTCCTAAAGTTTAGAAACCTTCTGCTTTTAGCTGTGGTGCTCCCAGCAGAGGGAGAGGACCTCCTCTCTGCAGGCTTTCTGTGCACATCCTCCAGGTGCCATTCTCAGCTTTAGAGAGGCTATTTTTTCACAAACACACACAATTTGACATGGATAATTTTTACATGGACTTGAAAGGATGGGTACAGCAACAAAGCCTAATGGGAATTTAAGCAGCTAACTGTATTCCTGCAAGCTCCATTAGGTGCTCTGTGGGGATTGCTTGCAGGGGTGATCACCCCTTTCCAGCTGCTGAAGGATAAGCTCCAGCAGGACCCTGCACTAAACCCCAACAGCAGCTCTCCTGTAGAAAGTGCAGGGCTAAAACTGAAAGGTGGCGGAGGGGAACTGCCTGGTGAGCTGGAAAAAAATGCACTGTTTTAAAGCATGTACCTGCATTAGAATTAAAGAAACGTAGCAAAACAGGCAAGAGGGAAGCAGCAGACGAGGAGGAAAATCATGCAATTGCTAAGGTTGCTTTATTTGCAATAGGTATGAGGTTCACGTCTTCTTGGGTGTCTTTCCTGATCCGCTCCCTTCTCATTGGCAAGTCTGTAACATATACGAGGTAAACTCTGACAGAAATAGAGGAACATACAAAAAAAAAACAGCATAGATTTGCCTGGATTTTTGTTTTCAACACAGTCTTAGGCCCCCCAGCTAAACCAGATCCTCTGATCCAGAGTGATGGGCTCTCCCAGCTGGGGTGCATCATGAGGAAGCTTTTTTTTAAAAATGATTGGATGGAGTTTCATGTGAATTAGATAAAGTGCATAAATACCACGTTTTGGTTCCTTGGCTTGCAAATATAAACACCAGAATTTCAAAGTGCGATGCTATTTCAGGTATTATTTTGCCTCGTCTCGTGGAGAACCCACAGGTTTTTTGCCAGCATCGCGTCCATCTGCTGCAGGCGAAGCGGTGGCCACGCTGCCTTCCCTTCCGATCCCAAGTTGAATTTTCTTTGGTCGTTTTTTTGGCTGGCATAAACTGCTCGTGACAGGAGTGCCGGTTTGCACCTGCTGAGCACCGCTGCTGTCATCACGTAGGCGACTGAGGCGCTCGCAGGGACCACATCCCTGTAATTGGGCTGGGAAGCAGCAGCCTTTCCCGAGCCGGGCAAGGTCTAATAACTGTTAAAGCAGAACTGAGCTGCTGCCTTCGAGCCCAGCAGGAGCGTTTGCTGGAGCGGAGAGCAGCGCTGTCGTTACGTACGTGCATGCACGTACGGGCATGGGCGCTCCTGTTCACTGCTGCTGGGTTTGGCTGTCTAAGGACGGTCCCCTGCTGTCACCAGGTGGCTGCAGGTGCTGCTGAGCGCTGCTCAACGAGCCCCCTGGGTGTCCCTGCTGTCATAAACGGGTGCTGGAGGGGTGGCTGTCGCGGTGCTCGCTGTCATAGACCTAAGAACCTTCTGTTTTGTGGGATCTTTCCTTATGTTGCTTTTCTGTCTCCCTGGCCAGAGGGTGAGGAAGAAGAGGAGGAGGAAGAGGAGGAGGAAGAAGAGGAGGAGGAAGAGGAAGACGAGGAGGACAAGGACATAGACTCGATGGATGAAAGCCTGGAGGGTGACACCGAGCTGCCAGGCTTCACGCTGCCGGGTGAGACCTCCCAGGAGCCCCTGGCCGGGCTGGAGAACCCCGCGGCGCAGCTGGCCGGGGTGTCCTATCAGGTTCCCGACACCATCGAGTGGGAGCAGCAGAACCAAGGTCTAGGTAAGAGACGGTTCCTTCCTCCATTGCGCTTAAGGAAGACGTGTCTGCTGTTCTTCATTCCCACATGGGGCAATCCATTGCACCTGGAGGCCTCACGGGTTTAGTGCTCCTTTCCAGAGGACACTCTGTCCTCCCCAGCGGACTTTATTCCCATGATGATGGAGTGCAGCCTCTGCAAGTGCCACGGAGCTGCTCCTTCATCCCCAGGGCTAGTGTTGTCTGGCTCTAAGAGTGGGCCACAAATGCTTCGTAGGTAAAACACCCAGGGAAACTTCAGCTCCCTCTGCCTGACGTGGTCACAAATCCCATGAGGATAAATTAATCTAATTAAATTGCTAAAAAAGTTGCTAATCAGGCCTTTAGCTGCTTCAGTAGCATTCTGGTAAGGGCCACTTTTCCAGCATTTTGTAAGGGGTGCATGGTCCAGGGACACAGCTCTATGGTGGTAGCATTAAGGCAAGCAGAACAAGTCTCCAAGGCCTATATAAAGCTTTATCCAGAGAGGAGGAAGTTAATTTCTGCACCATTTCTGCACCATGCTTTATGACTTTATTAGTTTATTTCACCTAAGAAGAGCTCCTCAGTGTTGTGTTGTTTTCATGTGACCCAAGACAAAACTGGTGCGTGACGGGGTAGAGTCCTGTCTGCCTTAGCTACTCAGGGAAGGTGCTGGGATCATTTTTCCATTATATTCAGATTTGAAGCCATGTCTCAGTAAAAACCACGGGATCCTTCCAGGTGGATTTGTGGGAGCTGAATCAAGACTGTACTGAAAGTGTGTGTGTAGGACTGTTAGAGACTGGGCTGTTGTGGTGGAGCTGCCAAAGAAAGAAATCTCCAAACTCTTTTTTATATTGTGTTTTTATCTTGCGTTGTTTTATGTTAGGGGGGTGTGTGTGTGCATATATATATATACACACATATATATATATAAAATTTCCCATGAATGTTTAATTCTGATATACCCTGGCAGTTCTTCCCCTGTAATCCTGTTTCCAGCGTGCTTTAGTGTTGTTAGTTTCCTTTGAAATGAATCAAAGAGAATATTTCAAGAACTCCATGGGAGGGTTGCTTCTGAGGGCAGACTGAGTTTGCATCAGGTCTGATATCTCCCTGGCTGATTAACTTTTGCTTTAAAAACATCGTATTTGATGGTTCACATGTCACATCCCTTCTGTATATCTTCTTATCCCATCAGGCTGGACAGGAGCAGTTGATGCGTGAGCAGAATAATTCTAAATCTTTAGTGGCTTTCTGGTTGACTTTGGCAGGCCAGATTAAAGAGCTACATGACAGCAGAAGAGCATAAGAAACGTAGGGTTATGCTGGAAGTCACTTCAATAGCTTTGTGTTCTTATTCATTTCGTCTTTGCAGGGTCTCTGTGGTGTCTCAGAAGAAAAGGTAGGACTAGGCTAGTGCTGATGGCATTGGTAAGAACGTAGCATTAAGCTGCAAACCAGGACTGTTTGCCTGGTTTCAGACCATGCAGCCCTGGGGCTTTGCAGAGCTTTGCCTCCCAAGCTGTCCTGTGTACAAAGGACAGTGTTTTGCAAACTCCGAGGTGCGTCCCCACACATCAGGCACCACGTTGTGTGGTGAGGAGGAAGATACCCTGATGTCCTTTTAGTGCTTTTAGTACATTTAACCGTCCCAGCTGGGTGACTGGTGCAGTGTCATCTGGCTTTGGTCACCAGAGGGCTCTTACAGGACCCTGTCCCAGCACAGGGTGCAAGGCCAGGCTCTGTGAGCAGGTGAGTCTGGAAGGCCAGCTGGTGTCTGCTGAAGGGGCTGCGCGTGACGCAGGATGTTGCCATGATGTTTGGCTCTACGTAGGAGGTTGTTCTGCAGAAGGCATCAGGCAGGGCTCTCTTCACAGCTGCTGCAGGTCTAAAATGGGGTTTTGACTCTCTTTCCATCCCTAGCACGTTTGCTGCTGGAGGAGAAGTCTCAGGACAGGAGATGTCTCTCAGATGCCTTGGAGAGGAGGCAGGTGAGAAAAGCAGTGACCAGAGGCTGAAGCTGTTGCTGGTGGGCAGGAAACCTCTCTGCCCAGAGTGTTTGTGGCAGCTGTGCACAGAGAATAAGTAGCCTCAGGCTCTGAAACATGGTGTGGCTTTCACCCCTCCTCGTGTTCGTAAGAGGAGTCCTAGCCACAGCCTTGCAGGAGGATTCACTCTGTGGTGTCTCTCCCAGGGACCTTCTGCTGAGCACAGCAGGCCAGATGTGTTTCTGATGTCCAATACTACTCAATCCTGCAGCCTTCACCCTCCATCACCTTCTCTCTGTCTTGGACTTTGGAAAGATAGCCTTTCTAAAAACCTGTGTCATGGAATAAATTGACTGTGTGGCAAAAGATGGGATATTTCTCCCTAACTTACGTTTTCTTTATCCTCATGCAAGTTGGAAGAGCCCCCTGTGAAGCCTGCCAAGTCAGTTGAGCTACAGAGTCTGAGTCTAGGCACACGGGGTCCTGGGCGCATGTGAATTTCTGCATCCTCTATCAGTACCTGGCTGTGTTATGTGGCACCAGATCCAGGCAGTTTGGATTTTCTTTTGTTTTGAAGCTGTTGCAGCCTGTGTGAGTAGTGGTGAGGGAGAAGATGAGGCTTTGGTTGAGCTGAGTTCATCTTCAGGAGGTAGCTATGACTTTTGTACGTGACGTGGGGAGAAAGGAGGGAAGCAGTAGGATCAGTGTCTCTGCCTGTGACTCACACTTATTCTGCCAGGTAAATGCTTATGTAAGGGGACAACTACTCTTTTTTTTTTCTTTTCTTTCTTTTTTTTTTTTTTCTTCTGTGTAGGACCTAAATGCCTATTTGATATTGGTTCCTTCCTCATCCAGAATGTGTTTATGCCTACAATGTTCCTAAGAGGCAGGGAAATTGTGTTTTACACAGAAGGGACAGAGAAAAAAACAAGGATTTGCCTAAGCTCACAGGAAATCAGACCAGGCAAGGAATTGAACCCAGGTTGTTTCAAAGCTCCATTTACTGGGAATGAGTGGGAGAAAGGAGGTGCTAACAGGCCTGTAGCATCTCCAAGGCATTTTTTTTTCTCTGGTGCTGTTGTGGTGCTGTGGTGCTTCTCTTCCCTCTGGTTTCTGTTACTGTGTCTGCATGTGGTCCCACTTAGAGTTACTTTGTGGGGTGGGTTAATAGGAGCACTCAAAGGCAGAGCAAGAAGGATGGAAAAAAAAAAGGCCTTAGGGCCTTTTAGGCCCTAAAATAAAAGGAATGCCCCCAAAATAAAAGAAAATGCCAGGAAGCAGAAGAGCTGCCCGTGTTGCTGTGCAGGAGTGCCTGGGAGGACCAGGCTCTCCATGAAGGACTAGTAAAACCTTTAGATCTGCTGGATACATGGGTAAACTATTTCTCTTTGAAATCCTTTTCCTCTAAGTGCTTTTCTTCTAGAACTTGTTCTTTGAAATCTCTCTCCTTTAAGTGCTTTTTCTTCTAAAGCTAAAATTCACTTGACTTTAATTTTGATACAGCTTCATAACCACTGCACGTCCCTAGCTGCAGCCTCTGGGAAAGGGAACTGCAGTCATTCCAGGTCCAGCTGGATCAAGGCTCTGATCTGTGAGGGTGCCAGCCCTGGCACAGGCTGCCCAGAGAGGCTCTGGAGATCTTCCAACCCGCCTGGATGCCACCCTGTGCCCCATGCCCTGGGTGTCCCTGCTGGAGCAGGGGCCTGGACTGGATGATCCCTAGAGGCCCCTTCCAACCTCAGCCTTTCTGGGATTCTGGGATCTGCTGCCTGTCTCAGCCCACCGTGTGCGTCTTCAGAGCGGTGCTCTCCTGATGGGGAAGCATTCCCAAAACTGGTGAGATGTGAAGGATCTTCTGTCCTGTGCAAGGGAATTACGGTCTCGAGAGGGGCTTGTCCTGCCTCGCCTGGGGCACCGCACAGGAGGAGCTGAGGAGGGGACACCCGGAGAGCCATCGGGGTGAGCAGAGCATGAGGTAGGGACACGCAGAGGAGGCAGAGCACTGCAGCACGTCCTGGACACTGCCACTCTGCACGCTGTGCCTTGCAGTTCACTGGCTCAATGGACTGCAGCAGATCCTGCAAGGTTACTGCAGTTTGCTCTATTGATGACTGGTCTCTCTGGGGAGTAGCTGAGGCTGTTTCTGTTGGAGTAAATTACTGCATTCACGTGGTAGCCAATTTTCACACCCTTGTGTTTGTTTCACTAATCTGTTAAGTGGTGAAAGAGACTGGGTTTATTTCTTATTTTCTCTTTCTTTTTGCTCTTTAAGCACCAAACTTTTATAGTTGTCATCTTCCATCTCTAAAACATTTTGCAAATATTGATTCTCTTCGGTGTGCTTCCATTCTCTCAGTTTCAAAATTTTGAAATTTAACTTTAAAATCTACTGTGCAGAAAAGCCTAGAAGTATTAGATAGCTATTCTCAGGCCAATTATTGAGTTTCTGTAGCCTGATGTCTGACAGACTGAAATTCCCTAGAGAGCAGGTAACTCTGTCAACAAGCAGTTTGACAAAGTAAGAGGCAGAGTTTGCATTTTTGTACTAGTCAATAAAAAAAAAAAGAAAAAAAAAGACCAGAATTATTAAAAATGTCAGTTCTGGAAAGTCCACTGGTCCTGCATTATCTCCTGAGCAAAAACTGTTTATATGCACCAGTAATGACGCTGTCAGTTTTATAGTGCAACGGCAGACTCCCTAACCAACAACATTTAGATAAAAGTAAAGCAGAAGATGATGTCATTGGTATCTTTATAAAATAGAAGTTGATCCTTTAGCAGCAACGCTTGCACCCCACTGCTTGGTTTTCTGCTCAAAGACTTTCTGTTCAGAGGAGGCCAATGAGGGAAATGTTGGCAATGCTGTGGGACCCTCTGGTTGTGCGGGGGATGACCTTGACCTTCCTTCCTCCTTGGGTTGTACTTGACCGGTGTGCAGTAGGTGACACTCACTGTCTGAGGAGTATCAGAAGTCCTGGAAACCTCAGCTCTCTGAGTATGAATTAAAGAGCCTTTTTGTGTGTGTGATTAAGTGAAAACAAGTGTTCATGAGTTCCGAGAAGTTCAGTTGGATTTAGATGAATTAGAGCTTGGTGAATGATTTCTAGGTCCTCCTTTAGTTATTCCTCACATATGTTAAGGAGAGCGGTCTATGTTACACCTCCATGAAGATCAGCACCTCTGCTTGTGTCTCGGTGATGGTTATTGTGGCTGTGCTTTTCTCCCGCTTCTTCACAGTGTTTATTCTCCCCTTTTGTGACCACTACCCCATCCCCGTTTCACAGAGATGAGATGCAGCCAAATACCCTGCACTGGTGTGAGAACCCTATGCTAGAGCAAGGAGATGCTCCTCAAGGTACATGCCCTAGTGTTTACCAACCTTCCAAGCCCCAGGCTGAAAGACTTAGTGCTTCTATCCATGGTGAGGTAGTGGCAGGAGGGCCAGGACAGTTTGCTTGGCCTTTAATTTTGCTGCTTCAGGGCGTGCAGGGATTTGTTTTGTACGTGTGAGACATATGGAGCCATTTGGAGTGGTAACGGCCCCCGCCTCCTGCACAACATAAGCCACTTTGGTTAATGAAGGTGAGGCTGAGTGCTAGATGATGATGCATATTTGAAAGGTCTTTTTCTACAGGAGCCAGAATTAATGCTTTTATGCCCCAAAATAACTAGCGTTAGGAAGACAGATTCAGAGGCTCAGAGTTTAGGAGCAGGTTCTTTAAGTGCTGTCCAGAACGGGTCTATTTTAGGTGCTCTTACAGCTCCCATTACTGGAACACCAGCATGTCGCTTATTTTTAACGCATTTATCTTCCTAATTATCCTGGAAAGGTTATCCGTGTTTTACAGGTGACAAGCAAAGCCACAGAGAGGCCGAGTGACCCAGACAGCCTTCGGCAGAGTCGCAATTTGAAGTGTGTGAGCAGAATTAGAGCCTGGGCGCTTCTTTCCTCTAGCTGACATTGGCTCAGGAAGGACGAGAGCACCTGTGTTTCTCCCTCTAAATGGTGCCTCGCTTGGGTCATTTTAACTACAGCAATTTTACTATTATGAGCCCCCAAACATTAGAGATTCTCAGCCCATCTTCTACGCATAAAGAAGAAAAATGGGGAAGGAAAAGCACTGCTGAGACCCCAGGCAGGAGTAGCTGGCAGGAGCCAGGAGCAGCCTCAGGGCCAGCAAGGTTTTCTTCCCTACATGTGCTGAGTGCTGCTGTCTGCAGGAATCCAGCCCTCCGTAGCTTAGCTCTGTGTATATTTATGGGTGTTCTGTTGCACAAAGCATTGGCTGTGCAAGGTCTGTGTTCCAAAGTGGCTGCAAACTCAAAACGAGCAATCTCGGAAAGGCAGATGATCATTTTTCCTGTCTTTCTGGGTACTCTAAATAATTTATACAGTTCCATATGTTTCTCATTATCTCCCCTTCCCTCTCCAAAGCAGTGATGAAGCTCATATAATCAATCTGTGCCTAAATCAATCGTTTCTGTTCCTCATAAGGAATGCATGCTTGGTTTGGAATGACTTCTTTTTTTAAAACTATTTTAAAACTAAGGGTTTTTAATCTCTTCTGAGATGGTTCATGGTTGTCCCTTAATCCTAGAGCAGGCAAATATTTAATCGGGTTTGACTTGTCAAAGAAATTTTGCATCCAAATATCTCTAAACAATAATGATCCTCTTCGTCAGCTCGTGGTGGCACACGCTATTATAACGGCAGAGCATCTCCTGAAAGACAATAACTCACCTTGGAGCCTGATTTTTTCTTTTCTTCAGTTTTTATCCCAAGGGACTTGGGGGAATGTGTCTTCCTTCGCCTCTTTAATATCGTTTCTTTCTCCTGCTGGACTTATCCCACTTCTCTCTGAAGGCAGATGCAATAAGGAGTGTTTCAGACGGGCTCTGCAGCGCGGCCCTGCGAGGCAAGAGGCCCTGTGCTCAGTGGCGAGTGCTGAGGACAGGGCCCGACAGAGACATGAAACTCGGTGAGTTGGGGCCCCGTGAGCCTG